GTGTGGGATGCCTCAGAGGGAGGTGCGTGTTTGCCCTTCCCAAAACACACGTCTGAGGTCTGGGGAAGCACGCAGGGAGGAGAGCCAGGAGAGTGCAGAGGAGGCAGAAGAGATGCTCCTCAGTCCCCTGTAGCTCTGGGATACAGTTAGGGAAAGGGCAGGGGGGCACCCTATGTGCGTGGGACCACAGAGAGGTCGATAGGAAAATCTGAGCTACCGAGGCTGTGTGAGCAGGAGCGGACACCCGGTCTTCCTGTATGGCTCTTGTTCTGGCCCTTTGACGTCTGCTCGGCGGTACCTCCCTGCGTGTGCTGGGTGCTGTGGGGTGCCAGAGCAGCTCTGCTGTCTGTTTCGGGCTTCGGCAGCACTGACACCCCCCCTCCCCCCCCCGCCCCTTGCAGCAGGACTGAGTGAGGGGAAATCTGTCACTGCAGTTGCTTTTCTGTGCTCAGGGAAAGCTGTGAACCTCGCACATGTTTCCGGGAATCCAACTCGCCATGGAGATATTAAGGAGACCCCAGAACTGAGGAATGAAAAGCCTGTGAAATGATAACTGGGAGGAGTATTTGAATGGAAGTAGGTTTCCTTGTTGGTGTCAGTTTTGAAGCCTAACTACCTCAAGCTACCGTAATAAAAAATAATGAATAGCAGTCCTACACCAGGTGGTACTGTGTGGTACTATCAATTTTGTTGTACTGAGCTCTTGGAGAAAGGTACACTTGTTACCTCCAAGGTTCAGGGGGATGTCTCATGCTTTCTAATTGTGTATGTGCTTTGGATTAATGAAGGGGATCAGTTGCTCTGGTGTGGGTAAATGCCGTAGCGAGGTTTTTGATAATTGCGGTGTGAATGTGTTTTGGCAGTTAGTACACCAGAAAGTAGGTTTGCTATTTATTCACATAAGATCTTGGCAGCTTTTAGTTTGCTGGATGACTGCAATCACTCACATTACTAGTTTCCAGTGAAAGGTGATATGGGGCAGGCATTTAGCCACTAGATGCGCTGCAGCACAGCAATATTTTTAGTTGAATGATTTTCTTAGAAGAGCAGTATGTAGAAATTGGATTAAGTAGAGACTTAAAGAAAATAATTAAGCTAGTATTAGGAGCCTAAGTCTGTAGGCTTAGTGAAACTAAGTTCAGCATAAAATCAGAGCGGCAGCAAAGAACATTTAAATTGCCTTCTCCGGGCCCTGGTTTGAATGGAGCCAACGGGCAGAGGGCACGTTTTACAGAAAGCCCTTGTCTGCTCTGCTCTGATGGTGATCCCTTGGAGCCAGAGCTGCATGGCCAGGCTCACCAGGAGCTGGAGATGCTCGTTCAAGCAGCGGGAAGGTGACAGAGCAGAGGGAGGTGTCTGGCTTCGCAGGCTGAGAAGGACAGTGTTTGAGCTTGCTTTAAATTTTAGTTTAAATGGCCCCTAATCAGCTGCAGGGAAGGGAAGAATCTAATTTTGAAAATCACCTTTGAATGTGATGCTTGCTTAAGGATGGTAGCAAGCTGATGCACTGAGAAACCTTGCTCACTATCTGGGAATAAGTGGATAATGGAAGAGGAGAGCTGGGGGGGGCTGTGGCTGCAGTTAGTTCCATAATGAGGGGTTGATGCGTGTGAGTGAAGGAGGTCCTCTGATTTAGATTTAATAAAGTAGTAGTTGAAAAAAGACTGCAGACATTTTGAGTGGTTGCAAAACTAGAATAAATACTTTTTTTGGTAACTGTGAATGAAAACTGTCTCATTAAATCTGTATCATGTGCAAATTTAGCAGTTCTCATTGTGAAAGACTTACAATGTTCCTACACTGTAGAGACTAAGAGGGAAATGCCTGATGCAGTAATAAGCTCAGTTAGCCGTTGCAATTTTGTAGGCCTTGTGTACGTTATATAGTAGATTGGAGATTTTTTTTTTGTTAACGAAAAATAATCTTATTGGTAGCACTAAAATCTTGTTCATTTAAGGTGATTAGTCCTGTAGATTAGACTTGAATTTTATTCAACTGATAAAAAAGATATGGGGAAGTCCTACCCAGAGAGGAAGAACTGCAGTTGTAGAATTACGATGTTCCTTATCTAGCACCAAGTACAAAACTAGAAGTACCCATCAAAGATAAAATCAAGAAAGGAGAACGCAGGGGATAATCTAATTTCCTCCAAATCCCTGAGAGGTTAAGAGTGAATATTAAACTTTTGGTGATTCCCTACAAGGCCAATTATTTTTATCACCTTACTATCTGAAAAATAGCTGATTGATTCCATGGCTTATTTTCATCAAAAAGTACAGCCATCTCGGAACTAAAAATAAATGGCTTTTATTTTTTCTACAGAAACAAATCAGTGAGTCATATAACAAATCTTGCCTCTCTAGCAAAGACAAAATGGCAGACCTGGAGCTAAATCAGCTGCGATGCTATGATGATTTTTCCAGATCTAGCCCTGAGGAACTACTCCAAGGAATGAACCACTGTGGATTCAAAGACCATTCTATATGACACTTTTCTATATGAGAAACATTTGTACAGGACATCTGAAATTACTGTAATCAGTACCAATAACCCTAAGAATGTAAATTTTGTGTCTCACCTCTTAAAGGATAGGAGACTCTCTTAAAAGTTGAGATGCAAAACAAAAATTGTATTATATTCCTGCAGCATGCATCCAGTGTTTTCCAGGATTTTTTCATAGTGTGAGGGATAAATTGAAAACCTCGCTTTCTGTAGAACCTCTTGATTCAGTCAGGTGGGACTCTGGAGACAGACACCAAAAATAACAGTACTGCCATAATACCAAAGGCTCTGGATGCTCTAGCTGTCAGTAGGGTGAATTCAGAGTCTCTGTTTTTTTTGAGCTTCAGGTGCTCTGCAGTAGTCTAAGTATGGTATTTCAAGTGGAAATCACCATGAAAATACACACACATTGTTTTAAAAATCATTTCCTTAAACCTAAAGAAACGAGAAAGAGAAGGCCCTTGTAGAGCCCACAGGGTAATCAGCTGCATTCATTTGTATTCATTAGTATCTATTGCCTGAAGATTTTCATGGCCATGGCTGTATTAAAATGCAGTATGCTAATGCAGGAACAGAATGTTTTAGCAGAAAATTGTAATTAAAAAATTAGCTGACCCAAGCCACTGGCTTCATTGACTTTCTCCCCCCCTTTTTTTTCCCAGCTCTAATTCTCACAATAAGTACTACGATAAATGGCTAAAGTAATTCCTCTTGTCAGTAGAAGTTGCTGTGTCAGTTTAACGAGAAATCTTAACATAAGGAGTATAGAGGTTTGTAGTTTGTTCCCAGCAGATCCTATGCCTTCAAATCTTGTGTTGAGGGGCTGGGGTTTTGGAATTATTTCAGATGTTATTGTATGGATTGAGTGAGTGACAATAGCAATTGCTCAGGTACTTAGAAAATAGAAATATTTGTATTGACTAATTGCTGAAAGTCTCTCTACAAAAACGCAAAGGAGTGAAGCCGTTCCTGCGAGGCGCAGGGCTCAGTGGCTTGGTGAGCTGGACGGGGCTCCGCCAGGGCACGGATGCTAAGGAGCAGCAGAAATGCAGCGGCGGCGTGGTGGAGGGCACTGCGAGAGCGCAGGTGGTATCTAGCATTTGCAGGGGAATATGAATTGGGGTAGGCTGGTTTCGGTGTCTCTGAGCAGGTCCCTTGGGGCCTTCGGGAAGCTGGTCCTGGTGCACCTTTTGCAGCTGCGGCTGAGGGCAGAGACTGGCGAAGACTCTGTGCCTACACCTAGCATCAAAATTGCTTCACCCTGCAACGTCTCCTACCCGAAATGCAGGCAGGCAGGAAAAGTCCCTTCAAGCAGGAGGTGAGGGAGACAGAGAACCAGGGCAACGTTGCTGGTGGCCAGGGAAATAGGAGAGAAAGCAATTTTAAGAAGTGTTTCACTATTAATTACAGCCTTGAATGGTGTTTTAAAAAAATATATTTTTTTAGTTGTTCGATAATTTATATACTAATGGAGTGGAAGGAAATCATGCAGAGCAATAAGAATGATTTACAATCGTTGTGAAATGTTTTGAAATGATAATACGTGGGGAAAGATTTAAACGTTGCTGCACTGAAATTACCAAAAGCTTTGTAGGCAGCTGGGTTTATATCCAGCAGCAAGCTGGGCAGTTGATGTTGGAAAGAGTCGCATGGGGATGGCTAAGTATTTTCTCCAAAAGAGTTGGAAAATACGGCGCAAAGACAAGGGCTTTGGGTTTCTTGATGGGTCGTCGTACGTTTTCCCACTGCATTTCGTCATCCTGGTACACAGAAAGTGCCAAAATAGGTACTTGGCGAAGCAGATGGAGAGACAAGAGAGTATGAAGTAGGTTCGGGCTGAGCAGGAGGTAAGGTCCTCACGACAGCAGCCGTGGGAGCTACGTGAGAGCAACGCCATTGCGTGTGCAGCAAAGGTGGGCTTCTCAGCCTAGTGAGAATGGTCTGTGGCAGAGGACATTAAAAAATACAAATAAGAAACCCTGGGTGCGCATCTCAGGGGTCTGACTCATGACTACCGTTTGGTTTTGTTTTAATTTTGCTCGAGGTGTCCAAATTGCGGAAAATAGGCAGAGTAAAAGCAGGACAAACTTAGGTTAAGCAAGACTTAACTGGGTACTGGAGCTTTCCACAAAACCTCTCTTCCCACATTCGCCTCGAAGATATAAATGATATAACCAGATACCACCTCCTCATGCCTGTAGCTAATTGCTGAAGGGAGATCTGGAAGGGACTTTAACCAGTACAAATGCCACTCATGAAGGCCTGGTGTTTGTAATGCTGCCATCAGCCAAGTCACTGTATAGTTGTATTTTATAGCTCAGAAGAGAACTGAATTGTGGAAAGGGATAGCACGTTGTGTTTTGCGGTTCAGAAAAACATGAATTATTTTACATAAACATATCTTCTCTGTTATTTATGTACTTGTGGAATGGCCAAAGAAAACTTACTAATTCTTTTTCTTCTTTTTTCTTTTTTCATGTATTTATTCCACAGGATCCTTCAAACCAAAAATGTGGAAGAAAGAAAACAGTGTCCTTCAGCAGCATGCCATCAGAGAAGAAAATAAGCAGTGCTAGTGACTGTATCAGCTTTATGCAGGCTGGGTGTGAACTGAAGAAAGTTCGTCCAAATTCCCGGATTTACAACCGTTTTTTCACTCTGGATCCTGACCTGCAGGCTCTTCGCTGGGAGCCTTCCAAGAAGGACCTTGACAAAGCTAAGCTTGATATTTCTGCTATAAAAGAAATCAGACTAGGGAAGAACACAGAAACATTCAGGAATAATGGGCTTGCGGATCAGATTTCTGAGGACTGCGCACTCTCGGTAATTCATGGTGAGAACTACGAGTCCCTTGATCTGGTTGCCAATTCAGCTGATGTGGCCAATATTTGGGTATCGGGATTAAGGTACTTGGTTTCTCGTAGCAAACAGCCTCTGGATTTGATGGAAGGCAGCCATAATACCCCGCGGTTCGCATGGCTAAAAACTGTATTTGAAGCAGCAGATGTTGACGGTAATGGCATAATGTTAGAAGATACGTCTGTGGAACTAATAAAAAAGCTTAACCCCACCCTAAAAGAATCAAAGATTAGATTAAAATTTAAGGAAATTCAGAAGAGCAAAGAGAAACTGACAACACGAGTAACAAAAGAGGAATTTTGTGAAGCATTCAGCGAACTTTGCACAAGACCTGAAGTTTATTTCTTACTTGTGCAGATATCTAAAAACAAAGAATATCTAGATGCCAATGACCTCATGCTGTTTTTGGAGGCTGAGCAAGGAGTGACCCATATAACAGAAGAAATGTGCCTAGATATTATACGCAGGTATGAGCTTTCTCAAGAAGGGCGGTTGAAAGGATTTCTTGCAATTGATGGATTTACTCAGTATTTGTTGTCCCCAGAATGTGATATTTTCGACCCAGAACACAAAAAAATTGTCCAAGACATGACACAGCCTTTATCTCATTACTACATCAATGCATCCCACAATACATATCTAATAGAAGACCAGCTCAGAGGACCAGCTGATATCAATGGTTATGTCAGAGCTTTAAAGATGAACTGCCGGAGTATTGAACTAGATGTCTGTGATGGCCCAGATAACGAGCCCGTTATTTGTAACCGTAACAACATGACGTCCCCACTTGCCTTTCGAAATGTTATTGAGGTAATAAACAAATTAGCCTTCTTTGCTTCAGAATACCCCCTTATTCTCTGCCTGGGGAACCACTGCTCGGTACAACAGCAGAAAGTAATGGCTCAACACATGAGGAAGATATTTGGAAACAAACTTTACACAGAAGCACCGTTACCATCGGAAGCCTACCTCCCATCACCCGAGAAACTGAAAATGAAGATCATTGTGAAGGGGAAGAAGCTACCCTGTGATCAGGATATATTAGAAGGAGAAGTCACAGATGAAGATGAAGAGGCTGAAATATCCCGGAGACTATCGGAGGACTTTTCAAGGGAGCCGAAGCTGATCTGGCTCTGCAGAGAATTGTCTGACTTGGTGTCCCTATGCAAATCTGTCCAGTACAAAGACTTTGAGACATCTATGAAAAGTCAAAATTACTGGGAAATCTGTTCCTTCAGTGAGGCGGAAGCCAACCGGATTGCAAACGAATACCCTGAAGATTTTGTCAACTACAACAAAAAATTTTTGTCCAGGGTGTACCCAAGCGCTATGAGAATAGACTCCAGTAACTTAAATCCTCAAGATTTTTGGAATTGCGGTTGCCAGATAGTGGCAATGAACTATCAGACCCCTGGGCCCATGATGGACCTGCACACTGGCTGGTTTCTGCAGAACGGGGGATGTGGGTATGTCCTGAGGCCTTCCGTGATGCGTGAGGAAGTCTCCTACTTCAGCGCCAATACGAAGGGCATCGTCCCGGGCGTCTCCCCACAAGTCCTGCATGTCAAAATAATTAGCGGGCAGAACTTCCCAAAGCCCAAGGGTGCATGTGCAAAAGGGGATGTTATAGACCCCTACGTTTGCATAGAAATACATGGGATTCCCGCTGATTGCACAGAACAAAGAACTAAAACTGTTCAGCAAAACAGTGATAACCCCATTTTTGATGAAAGCTTTGAGTTCCAGATCAACCTACCGGAGCTAGCCATGATCCGTTTTGTTGTTTTGGATGATGACTACATTGGGGATGAGTTCATAGGCCAGTATACCATCCCGCTGGAGTGCTTACAGCCTGGATACAGGCATATACCGCTGCGGTCTTTTGTTGGAGATATCATGGAGCACGTTACCCTGTTTGTTCACATTGCAATAACCAATCGAAGTGGCGGAGGGAAGGCCCAAAAGCGCAGCCTTTCAGTGAGGATAGGAAAGAAAGCAAGGGAGTACACTATGCTGAGGAACACCGGCCTCAAGACCATTGACGACATCTTCAAGCTGGCAGTGCATCCGCTACGAGAGGCCACTGACATGAGAGAAAACATGCAGGTACGACACTCCTGTCCCTTGCATTGCTGTGCACTGAGAGCGGGAGGGGAGATCCTGATGAGAGCTGCTGGTAGGGCCAACTTGCTGCAGCTGGTGGATGTGCTTCACACCCACCTGTGGAAGCCTGTGGAGTACAAGCACCTGTGGAAACCTTTAAACATACTGGGCATCAGAAGGCTGATGCTTACGGCTGTTAACTAACAAGCAGATGGGAGGTTAGGCAGAAATGTTTGAAAAATCAGTGTACCCTCCATCTCTGAACACAGCGCTTTACTGCTTGTATTTGTTTGAGAGAGCAGAGCTGAGGGTACGTTTGTGTCCCCAGGCCTCTGGCCTTATAACCTTCACTTCCTCATCGGTCCTGAAAAACGTCAGCTAGCTTTTGTTCTGCTAACTCAGTGAAAATTATGCTATTAATTTGCTTTGCCTGGGTGAGTATAAGAAGCAGTTAGTGGATGCGTTATTAAGGTCTTGTCTACACCAGAGAAATGCACTCTGCTAAGAATAGCACGTTTTACTGCACTCATGTTGCCACTACGCACAAAAGGGCTGCAAATGTGTAACATAGGCCCTGGACACCGCTCAGATTATGATTTCCTCTCCACTAAGCAGCTGTGTGGTCCCAGCCAGTGGAGGGCCAGCACAGCCACCGGTATCATGTCTTGGTCCAGAGGGTCTGCTGGCGCTGCCTTGGTCCTGGGGCGCTGCCTAGGGAGCGCCAGGGCACGCTGGGAGCCGTGCGGAGGTTACGCCGCACCGCGGCCTGGCATCGACCCGTCCGCCTTGAGCTCCCGTCTGTGGCTGCTGGCAGTGATTTGGCAGGTTCAGTAATGGTCAATTCAATTTAGAGGGCTGCCTAGAAACAAAACTAAGCAGCATTAAACAATGAATTTTCCTTAATAAATAGCTGAAATCAACCATAGCTGTCTCCAGTAAAACTTCAGAAACAATGCTCTTTTTTTTTTTTTCCTTGAAAATAGGAGAAAAACGCGTAAAACTTCACTGACCCCACTCTTCTGGACAGAGTCTAAAGCAAATTAAATGCTGGCAGCTGGAAAAGTTTACAAAATGACATAAGTTTTAAATGACTCCCAAAGGAATATCCTTAGCATATTTTTAAGAATGGGAAACTCTTCCCAGCCTTTCCTTCCCCACAGGCCTTGGAAGTAACTAGTCTGGACCTCTGACTCCACCTTCTGTCTAGGTCAGGGTTAGATACAAGAGCTATATAAAAGAAAGTACTCATTGAATTGGACTCAAAAATCACATTCACGTGTCTCCTAAGCTAAACTTCAGTACATGATGTTGTTCTTGGGAATGTTTTGTAGAAGACACAGTCATTAGGTTTAACTGCATACTAACGTATTTGATTAATGGGGAAAGCCTCTATTCATTTGTTGAGAACGGCTTTTTCAGGAAGAAGTTGTGGGGCAGTATTTACAAGCTAGGGGTTGTTACAATATTCTCTTGCCTATATTTTGTGCATCTTGGTCATTGTATGACTCGAGAAGCTAAATTACAAGGGAAAGTCAGCCACGAGTCCACTGATGTGGGTAATAAATAAGTAAATTCTGGCATGTTAGTTTGGTTTGACCTGTGTATCCAGTATTGATTTTCTTACATGTGACCTCTGAAGGGGAAAGAGCATTTGTGTTGCTGTATGACGTGGTAATGCAAGGCTGGAAACGGTGTTTTTTCCTGCTTGTCTTTCCCATGGGAAATACGAAGTCTGTCAAACTCATTCTTGCTGGAGGATGATAATGGCTGGCAAACTAGGTGATTATTGCTTCAAAAGCAATTGGGATATGAACACTAGAGAAACAGCATTTTAGGCAGATTGTTTAATATGCTGGAGATTAGACCTTGTCCCTGTTGGGGCTGGGTTTATGATGCAGAGTGACTGTGAAGCCAGTGGTTGGGACACCTGTGTCCAAGGGGAAGACCCAGGTGGCAGGAGGCTGGGGAAGGAGAATGGGACTGGAGAACAGGACCGTGCGCTGCAATGTGTGCCTGCCCCTGGGGCGCACGGGGGCTGCCAGTAGCCCTCCTGCAGCCTGGTGTTAAGGGCTGGCTCCTCCTTCCTCAGAAACCTCTGCAGATCCAAGCTGAACATCTCTCTGGAAAAGAAACACTTTGGGCCGCTTGCTCAAGGACCAGTCCTTTAGTAAAGCCAAAATCAGGAAGAGTTCATTTTTCTTACATTGAAAGAAAGATAGAAATCACATTGTTCAGACCTCCTTTGTCAATCGTAAGGAAGCAAAACAGTCCCATTTTCTCTCCTTTGCTTCTTGCAGGTCACACCTTAATTTCTTATGCCCAGCAATGCAATATTATGAATGTCTTGAACACAAAAAGCAAAACTTACTCTTAAAATCCCCTAAATGCAAACGAGACCCTTCCAACTTAAAAGCCAGCCTGCGCTTGCGCGTGTAAGCGGGTGGTGGAGAGGAGAGGCAGGGAGGCACGAGTGACTTTGTGGCAGATGGGGACGTGAGGGGGACGTGCTGAAGTGTTTCTCTTCCTTCCCGCAGAACGCAATGGTGTCAGTGAAGGAGCTGTGTGGGCTCCCTCCCATCGCCAGCCTGAAGCAGTGCATCCTTACCCTGTCCTCGCGGCTCGTGAATGCCGACAACTCACCCTCGGTAACCCTCTGCATGAAGGATGCTTTTCCCTACCTGGAGCCTCTGGGTGCCGTGCCTGACGTACAGAAAAAGGTCCTGGCGGCGTATGAGCTGGTAGGTGCCCCTTGCTGTGCCCTGCGCCTTGCCCTGCCGTCCTGCACCGGTTGCTGGCTAGCTGTCAAACACCTGGACATTACATAGGTCTCAATATGCACATACAGTGTACTACAATTATTGCAGTAGCTTATGTTTATAATGAATAAAATGGGGAATAACTTTGGGGGCATCAGATTGCTTCCAGAGACCTTAAAGCACGGGGAAGGATGATCAAATTCTTGACTAACTGTTCAGTCTGCCAAATGCTCTCCTCCTTTCCATCTCGTTTTCTGCTGTTATAATGCACTTTCCAGGAGAAAATCAGGTGAGGGGAATGGGGAGGCACTGGTAGGATTTTAAGATTAAAAACACTAAAAATACTCCAGAATAACCTGAGGGTTTCTTCTAAGGTAGTTCCATACTGCTGGAAGGTAATTAAGTTTTGTTTTTTAAAAAAAAAAAAAAAAAGCTGTGACAATATAAGGATGAGGATTGGGAAATGCCATTGTGTGCCATGTTTTAGGTTTGTTACATGGCGTTATGTTTGTCTGAAGGAGCAGATACCACATAAGAAACCTTTTGTCTTCGGATGCCTACTTATGTAGATGTACCGAAATGAACGTGTCCCCAGTTATCTTTGTAATTACATACTGAGGAGTACACATGGGACATTTCAAGGCCTTCTTGTGCTTTGGAAATAGTCTTTCGATTTAAATAGGTGAAAGGCCTGTTTCGGATGCGCACAAGAACATTTGTATAACTGTTTTAAAGTAATGTTTATGCTCATATTTGTCTCGAATGGAGGAAGATGTAGCTCTGATGCCAAGAGACAGCACGAAGGTTTAGAAATGGAGCGGTTAGGGAGAGGAGGGAATTCTTTTGTACCTGGGTTAGCGTTGATTGAGCTGCGATTCCGATGAATGGGAACATGTTACTTTAAAGTACCCTTACCGGTTGGGCTTGGGGCTGCATCTTACATTGCTAAAACTTTTATTTGGTCCTGAAAAAACAAAAATGAGATTTAACAAAGTTTTTGCTTTATTTTGGATAGTTACAGTTTTAGGCAATGTTAGTAGCCAGTTATTGAAATCTATTTTGTCTTTTCTCTATTAAAAAAATGAATCGTCTTTATCAACTTGACATGTGAGAATATAACGTTTGTGCCGAGCGGAGGGGCTTGCTGTTTTCGCTTTGAGAAAGGACTCTTTTTGCTGTGGTGTTTGTAGTGATCCAGGGCCTAGTCCTTTTTAATAAGGAAATGATTCTGTGTACTGGGCTTTCTCCCCGTTAGCGTGTGTGACAGGTTAAAGCCGGCAGCCCGTGTGCAGCTCAGCTGGCTCTGGGAGCACGAGCTGGACTTTAGAGAGCCTGCAAGAGCATGTGGGGATAGAAAGAGAAGCAAGTTCAACAGAACGGGATGATTTTTTTGTGCTTTTATTGTCTGGGAAGAGAGGCTTGATAGCAATGCAGATGCTGGTGGACTGCAATATAAAATGTTTTGGGTATGTTTTTTAAAGATACGATATGCCGCGGTTCAGCCTGTTAAGTTGTTGATAAATATGACTTGAAGGAACTGGATTGACGTACTTGCTGCAAGTCTTTAATTTCCCAGAAATATCTCTTCACCTTAAAGCACTTTTTGGGTGAGCAGGCCTGCAAGCAATTTTAAAAATAGAACTGTTGGATTTTTTTTTGCTTTGAGTTATTTATTAAAGCACCTCATTGAGCCTCTCTCTTGTAGTAATGGCTGTATTTCTTTATTCCTTCTACAGCAGAAGTGAAAAAAGTTTGGTGCTAAATCTCATAGTGGAGAATGGCCAAGTGTGGGTCTGCCTTGTCATCTGAGGTGCGAAGCGCAGGTAGCTCGAGCGCTAGGCAAGCCGTTCCCATCCGCCTGGGGAAACAGCATATGTTTCACAGTTTTTAAAAAGCATACTTTGAAAATCTCTGATAAAAACAGCCAGAATGTGTTGGATTTTTCCCCACTACTGGAAATTGTCATTGGAACATCTCTTTCTCTCAAGAAAAGTGTAAACTCTGCCAGTGTGTTTAATGGGGCGTGGAGAGCGCTGACAGTCCAGGCAAACGGAGGTGCAAATGCTCCGAGACCTGTCACCATGATCTTGAAAACAATTAAGTGTCTGCTCTCCTGCTCTCAGCCTTTGCCAGTAGCCATGCGAGACAAAGATCATTTTGTGCAGTTTGTTTGTTTTGTCTTGGGCAATTAATTTTACCATTGTGCTTTGCCTTTTTTTTTTTTTTTTTTGAGAGAGGCCATATCAGAATAAAATTTAATGTGCTTTGTTTAAGGAGCCGTAATGATTTTCCAGGACTTTTTTTTTTTTTATTTAAATGATTGCGTTGCGGCGGCTTTGTGGAGCTCACAAAAGCTGCTGTGCCTTGTGGAGGAAGAGGTTTTAAGGAAGATACTGGGTTGTATGGAAGTTCCTGCAAAGTCAAAAAGGGAACAGGATTGTGTTAGAAAACAAGAAAATAGGGTGCAACACTGGTGATACAGTAAAAATGTTTTTAAAAAATATATGAACTATCAGAAACATGCTTTAGAACTGTTTCTTTCAACTTGCATATAGTTTTGATTATTGTATGTAGCGTATGATGAATAGATTTGGAGAACTGATGCACGTACTTCCTTGGGTGGTGCAGCACGCCTTCTACAGGCTGTTCCTGCCAGGAGCCGCTCGCTCAGGTGGGCAGCGCGCGTGGCTTGCTTTGTAACCCGTCAGATGGACATCAGTGTTCGCTGACCACCCCTAGGAGAGGAGATGTTGGGTAAGAACAAAAGGGATGAGGCCCAGCTGGAAACGACAGATGGCTGACTTATTCATTGCAAACAGTTATACTGTAAAGTTAGAGTTTTTTGGTCGCAAATTGCTCAGAAACAAATTGTGGTTTCTCTCTCTGCACGGTATATAATTTGCTGATGCAAGCACATGTTAGCTTAGTGGTGCTTGTGCACTTTGCTTTTCGGTTATTGGTTCATCATTATTTTTCCTCCAAGACTGGATGACTGAATCATTTGAAAATCAAAAGCAATGAACAACTGATGATAAACTTTTTCGTTTCTGCCCAAATCTCCTGGCTCTTGTGCATGCAGAAATATTCCTATAAAAATAAAAGAAGCTCCACAAGTATCTGTCTAACTCTTTATATGGTTTTTGAATCTCCAGTAATGAAAAGTGCAAAAAGACTGGACAGAGAAGTTTTTTAGTGCGTTTGGGAGAGCCGTTGCTGGCACAGAGGCTGGTGGAGGTGGGTGAGCAGAGGTGCGCGGAGGTTTCGGAGAGGCACTGTGCCACTCTGCCTGCCGCCGACCTTCACGCTCAGTCCTTTTGGGTTTCCATGTCTTCATGCAGGCAGGACAGCGACTTATTCCCAAGGAGAAAGTTCTTTTTCCCATTTTACGTATATGCAAAATAACTGAACAGATTTTGGTAAACTTTTCCAGTGAAATTCATATTTCAGCTGGGACAGTGTCATCCCCAGAGGAACATTTTTCACCGTGCTCTGAGTAACTGAAGACAAGGGGTATTGCAAAGCGTGATATTCGCTGCCAAGCAAGTGTTATAATATGCTGACGTCAAACGCAGTCCAGTGCATGGACGTTCACGTTGAATTAATATCTGTTTTCAAGAGTTTTGCATCCAAAATTGGACATAGACTGGGAAAGCAATTTTTCATTTTCTTTCTCTCCTTCTTGTAATTCTCTCTGTCTTTAATCACCACTCCTCCAATTGCTTTCTCTTTTGTTTCCACATCCATTAGTCCCTCCTAAAATAGGACCTAAAAAAGATTAGATCAGAATTTTTCTTAACAGAATGAAAATCTAGTTGGCTGCCTGAGTTTGTGCGTTTGAGTGTAAGCGTGTTCAAAGCTGACCCTTCCCCAGTACCTGTCGTGTTTCTGTAGATTTAGAGGGCTGCTCTTCATGTACCTGATCATATCTCATAAGGCTTTGGCACCATGTTTCCCCAGAAATACTTGTATGCAAAAATACAAATTGAAAATTTAAGGTTAATTTTATTCATTTTCTTCTGCAGTTTGTGTAGGTAAGGTATTTCAAAGGTTTCCAAATGATGTTACCATTCTTGATAACTATTCCTCTTACGGGGCTGTCCCAGGAAAATGCTCACATACAGAAACCTAACCTGGAGTATTTTGGGAGAAAATACAAGGTAGCGTACCTGACCAGCAGTCCTTCCCTAGCCCTGCCAGCCTGTGCACAGCCCTGCTTTTCACAAGACGTACTGGCACATGATTAATTGCTTGGCTGTTCCACGTCCCAAATGTCTGCAAGAAACGCTTGATGCTAAAGAGGGACTCCTATTTAAATTTTCATGAGCTCAATTTGCACTTCAGATGCTTTTCCAGTTGGCGCTGTTTCTGTAGCAAGAGGCACAGTACTGTGCTCCTGACCCAGGCAAAGCTCTTGGCTGCCTGGGGAGGGCACAGGAGGTGCAGGCACAGCGGCAACGGGCAGACACCTGAGAGCAAGGTTTTTTTTTTTTTTTAATTTGCTGCTCAGTCAGTTCCTGTTCTAAACCCTGGAATATTTATGAGCAGACTCTTTGAACTATCCCTTCTGTATCATTTATCTTCCCAGCAGGAGCTGTGCTTTAATTTGCCACCAGGAGTTTTTCCTGCCTTTTTTGTCTTTTTTGGTGAGAGACTGCTGTGTTAATTCCTTCTCTCCTTTTCAGTTTGCAGCGTAGTTTGTAATAAAAGAAGGAAATTGGTTTCTCGCACAGGAGTTCACTAAAGTAAAAAGAAATAACATTTTTTGGTCATTTTGTACTGAATCTGTGACCAAACAACATTTCGTACGTGCAAGAAACAAGCCTGTTAATTTCTTGGGAGTAAAAACATAGAGTGTTAAGTTAAGGTATTAAGGTATTTTGTGTTAAGGTATTTTCTATTTCAGTCAAATTTATTTATCTTTGTAACTGACACTTAAAAGAAGTGAAAAAGCTTAACACCATGCTTTCTGCAAAGCGATGCGA